ATGGGGTTGCCGTGACCAAAATGCAGAATGTTCACTTCAGAATTGTTTTCCACATGTTTTCACTGATACGTTTCTTCTGTCAATATACATTTCTTGAAGTGCACTAGCAGTTGTCTTTGGATTTTTAGAGATAACAAAAGACAGAAAAGGACAAGTATATATATATATTTGTTATTGTTATACAGGAAAGGGGGAAGCTAGAGCATTTTAAACTGCTTAGCTTAATTTCAGTTATTGGGAATAAAGTGCTGAAATATTGAGAATCCAAATACAAAAACATATCAAGGTGGTAAGTAACAGTGAAACTGTATTCATTGGGCACAAGTTAAGTCAAACTAATCTAATTTTCCTATGGAAATGAAACTAAAATGTGGGTATGTGAGAAGCACAGATGTTAAGTCACTTGCCTTTCCTGTCTTTATATGCTATTCAACCTGCCATTCTCATGAGTAAGCAGGGAATTTTCTTGACTAAATTACCACTAAACAGATGCAAAACTTTTTTGAAATCTTCATTTGGTTGGTTAGCGAGTGTTCATAGAATAGAAAGGTCAGAATAGAAAGGCACTTAGATTGTGCTTCTTGGGCAAGTACAGATACCATTTTCAATACAGTGTTGAATGGTAAAATACTCAGCATGCTCTCAGGGCAATAAGAGCTCATGTGCAGACTGAAAAATAGAGCTATAATTCAAAATAGTAGGATCCCATTTGATGTGGACATATGCAGATTCTGCATTCAAGTAAGAATGAGTTGAAGATTGGAGAAGGACTGACTCAGCAGTTGTTTTGTTGAAATACTAGAATAGAATCATAAAGGTTGGAAAGGACCTTTAAGATCTTCAAGTCCAACCTACAGCCCTACACCACCCTAACACTAAACCATCTCCTGAAGTGCCACATCCAACCATATTTTAAACACATCCAAGGATGGTGACTCCACTACCTCCTTTGGCAACCCATTCCAGTGCTTCACCAGCCTTTCGATGAAGAAAGTTTTCATAATATCCAAAATGTAGAGACCTTAGTGATTCCCAGGGTAAACGTGAGTTAGAGAAGTGATGCTGCTCTGAAATAGGTTAACAAAACATTTTTGTAGTACCTAGTCCGGCAGAGCTATATATAAATTTGGAAGTCCTAAACATATAGCTTGTCCTTTATGACTGAAAGAAGTGAAACTGTTCATCTAAATAAAAAGAAAAGAAACTTAACAGTTTTCAGGAGTAAGATTCATCATCACCTAATTCTTTGAACTAATCACCCTCTTTTGCTGTATAAACAGAGGAGGAAAGCAGTGTGATTCATCTTATTTCCATGCGGACACCTAAACTAGGTCAGGTGAATCATGCCGTCATCCTCTCTGCTGATGAGCTGAGATGTAGACTCATCTACTTTGGAAGTGCATTTGGTCTTTGGAGACGTCAACAACAGATGAGGAGGATCTAATGTGAAATACCTAAAAGGAGGAAGAAACAAATGATTTATTCTCATTGATCAGAGCAAATGAGAGTATGGTGAAGTACTGGAATTATTTTCTTGGAGTTTGTGGCGTCTCTATTACTATGCATTTTTTAAGAATAGGTTAGATGAATACGTTATAATATGAGATCATAGATTGGGTTGAACCTGCCCTTGGATTCAAAGGCTGGATTAGAGGACATCTCAGGTTCCTCCCTAGCCCCATGTTTCCGTGTGGCTTCATTATTTAGTGAGAGATATCCCAGTCTTATATAAGCTAGGATACACAGCTGTAATGGGAATGGGGAGGTAACCAGTTTTGAATGATGCAAGAGATATCTACGCCTTGTCACATTGCATGCTGGGCCAGATCGCAGTGGGGTGGAAATGACAGTGGAGTGGAAATGACAATAGGGTTGCAATTTGGAAGAGACACATATTTCTAGCAGCTATTATCTCTGGCTTGTTCCTGGAAAGCATTACATTCCTTGACTGCGTGAGTCAGCAGTGCTGCAGCAGGAGTTACAAAACAGGGCTTAGCAGAGCATCAACAAGTAGTGATTAGGGTGAAAGGCTATTAACACCTCAGGTAAAGCCATATAGTAAAAGTAGATAATATACTGATGATACTTATAATTCCTCTGACAGGAAAAAATGTTAGCAATCAAAAAGGTGGTTTATCTTTTGTACATTTGGAAAGAATTTGATGAATGTTAAAGGGCATTAATATATAAAACTCAAGGGAATAATTTCTTGAATCCATATTTACATAATTATTCATGCTACAGTAAACTTAATTGATTTACATATAAGTCTAACATCCGTTGTTCTTTGTTCCATCGAGTGAGCTCTGACTAAATATTGATGGTCACTTAAAGCGCACCTTGCCAAAGAAAATCAAAAAATAATAGGTGGGAAAATCTTATGAACAAAATTGAATTAGTGTTAAAGAAGAGGGTTTCAAAAATTTTCTTACAGTAGACTGTGTCTTGGCATCATACATAGCCTATACAAAGAAATCCAGACTATATAAAGAAATCCAGGTTTTCACTTCTTGTTCATTGGTGCCATGAGACCAGAGAGCTCAGCTGAAAAGTCAGATGGGATTTCCCCCTGGCCAAGGTGATTCTATTTGGTATAAACTGCAAATGCAGTTGCTTGCTCAGAAAGTATAGAGAGAAACATCACTCTGCCAGCTGTGTGGGTTTTGTTTTGGTTTTGTTTGGGGGGTTTTCGATGGATTTATTTGTTTTGGTTTTTCTTTTTTGGCTTTGCTTTGTTGTTTTGGTTTTGTCTCCGTTTTTTTTTTCCTCTACAGATATGTTCAGTTGGGGGTAGGTATATTCAGCAGTCTTGCCTGACTACATGGGAGCCTTAAAATAAACAATATGTAATGCATTTTTACCTTTTTCATGGTAAAAGCCATTCTGTTAAAATAACTTGATATGATGGAACATGTCCAGAACTTTCACTTCAAGAGCTTCTGTTGCAGGTTTGAGTAACTATACAAAAACCTCTGAGTCTTAGTGGGGAAAAAGCAGAATGCAAGTGAAGGGAATTTATCTTTTTTGTCCTTCGACTGTGTCTGCATTGAAAAACGTGCATGAATTGGAAGTGAAGCTAAAGGCAAGTCTCTCACGAAAGAGTCTTCTGAAAAGAAGGCCCAATAGGTAGACCAGACTTAGGGAAGTTTTCTGTCTTCCTTAGGCCCAGGTTAAAGATATGAAAACTCCCTACAGATGGTAAGGCCATCAGATTTCTATCCATTATTGATTTTTCAGGTAGGTAGCTATGACATTGCAGCAAGAAGTCCAAGGGTGATAAAGGGGAACTTCAGGGTCTTGGGATGATGGGTTGAGGAATGAAGAGCACAGTGTTCTCCTCTATCCCTCCACTTACAGGAAATGGTGAAGGAAGAAACAGAAAGAGCCAGCAGATCAATACCTGTCTCTGAGCCTGGAGTCACAGGCAGAATTTTGGGATTTTTTGGTTATGGGTTGGTCTACATGACACCAGGGCTGCTGGTGACAGAGTTATTTTCAAAGTGAGAAAAGGGTTGTTGCACAGGAATTAGCAGCGCTTATTGAAAGGGCTTTAAACTAGATTCGAAAGGGGAAAGGGTTAAAACCAGGCTCGCTGGAGATAGACCTGGAGTTAGCACACCAATATTTGAGGGACGGTGTGCTGCTGAGGTCCATTGGTCAGCCCTCTGAGTGGAGACTGGGGATGAGAGATCCATGCAGCAACAAAGGCACAAGGTCTATTGGTGTGTAAGAAACCATGGAAGTGCCTGAGGATGGTCACACAGGAATTAGGACTTCCAAAAAAGGTAGTGGGAATGATAGTCCAAGTGAAGTGCGTCTACACTAATGCATGTAGCATGAATGACAAATAGGAGGAGCTGGAAGCTGTTGTGCAACAGGAAAACTATGACATAGTTGCCATTACAGAAACATGATGGAATTATTTGCACAACTGGATTCTGCACTGCCTGGCAATGGGCAAGAAAGTAGAAGCAGTGGGATAGCCCTGTATGTTAGGGAGTGTTTTGATGTTCTAGAACTCAATGATAGTGACAATAGAGTGGAGTGTTTATGGGTAAGAATTAGGGGGAAGGCCAAGAAGGTAGATATGGTAGGAGTATGTGATAGACCACCTAACCAAGATGAGGAGGAATATGAAATATTTTGTAAGTAGTAGGAGATGTCTCATGATAGGCAGCCCTTGTTCTCATGGGGGACTTCACCTTACCAAATGTACGCTGGAGATAAAATACAGTACAGAAGAAACAGACCAGGAGATTCCTGGAGAGCGTGGAAGATACTTCCTGACATTACCGGTGAGTTAACCAACTAGGCAAGGCACCCTGCTGGACCTGTTTGTGAACAGAGAAGGACTTGTGGGTGATGTGATGGTTGGAGGTTTTCTTGGGCATAGTGATCACAGAACAATAGAGTTTTCAATTTCTAGAGAAGTAAAGAGATGGATCAGTAGAACTGATACCTTAGACTTCCTACAGGCAGACTTCGGCTTCTTTAGGGACTTAGTTGACAGAGTCCCTGGGGAGGGAGTCATGAAGAGCAAGGGAGTCCAGGAAGGCTGGATAGTCTTCAGGAAGGAAATCTAAAAGGCACAGGAGCAGGCTGTCCCCATGTGCCAGAAGATGAGCCAGTGGGGAAGAAGACCAACTGGGCTGAACAGAGAGATTTGGATGAAACTCAGGAAAAAAAGGACATATGGAGGAAGGGGCAGGCAACTCAGGAGGACTACATCTGTGGATGTTGTTTACTTGGACTTTAGTAATGCCTTTGGCACCATTTCCCACAGCATTCTCCTTGAGAAACTGGCTGTTCATGGCTTGGATGGTCATGCGTAGAAATGCTGCGTAGAAAAATGGCTGGAGGGCCAGTTAAATACAATTCGTGGCTGATTATAAGTGGTGGTCCCCAGGGGTCGATATTGAGGCCGGATCTGGTTAATATCTTTATCAATGGTCTGAATGAGTGGATTGAGTGCACTCTCAAGTAAGTTTGCAGATGACACCATGTTGGGCATGACTGTTGATTTACTGGAGAGTAGGAAGTCTCTCCAGAGGAATCTAGACAGACTGGATCAGTGGGACGAGGTTCATTCCATGAGGTTCACCAAAGCCAAGTGCCAGGTCCTGCCCGTGGGTCACAAGAACCCCCAGCAGCACTACAGGAGTGGAGAGGTGTGGCTAGAAAGTGCCCAGATTAAAAGGCTCAGGGGGAGTTGGTGGACAGTCGCCTGGACTTGAGCCAGCAGTGTGCCCAGGTGGCCAAGAAGGCCAACAGCATCCTGGCCTGTATCGGAAATAGCGTGGCCGGCAGGACCCAGGAAGAGATGATCTCACTCTTCTCAGCACTGATGAGGCTGCATCTTGAGTAACGTGTTAAGTTTTGGGCCTCTCACTCCAAGAAAGACATTGAGGTGCTGGAGCCTGTCCAAAGAACGGCAGCAAAGCTCTTGAAGGGTCTGGAGAACAAGTCTTCCTGAACAGAAGTTGCAGTGAGGTGGGGGTCACTCTCTTCTCCTGTGTATGAATTGATAAGACAAGAGGAAATGCTTCAAACTGTGCAAGGGAAGATTTAGATAGGATATTGGGAAAAATTTCTTTATGCAAAGGGTAGTCAAGCCTTGGAACAGGCTGTCCAGGCTAGTGATTGAGTCACCATACCTGGATGTATTTAAAAGACTTGCAGATGTGGTGCTTAGGGACACGGCTTACTGGTGGACTTGTCATTGCTATATAAGTGGTTGCGCTCAATGACTTTAAACATCTTTTCCAACAAATATTTTTATGATTCTGTGATTCTTAATGCCAAAGCTACTAGCGAAAATTAATCATTCTATGATTCTGTATGATTCTATGATTTATCATGTATTGTTTAGTTCTTAGTTTCTAAAGACTGATTCATGAGTTGGTGTAGAAAGCAATTGTATTGAAACCAGGAGTCATACCTGTTGACAGGTGCTACTTTCTTTTTATGATTGGAAAAGAATGTATTTATCTGCCTGATTATTCACCACCTGGGGGTTTCTACCTTGTCATGTTGGAAATCATACATTTAGTAACCTATCTGAAATTTGGAAGTGCATCCTTCAAGTTCATTCGTGTTTACAACATTCTGCAAACTAGGTACTGAAATATATGGCATAAACCAAAATGTTTTTGCATGACCTAAAATAAACATAATTTTGCATATATCACTAATCACTAATAATAATTAGGTCACTAATCCCTAAAATACCACAGCTATGCAGAGGTATACACACTTTTTCTTCTTGATTTTCAGTAGGTATAGAGGAGCATAGAACTAACTTCAAACTAATACAGATCCAGTTTTAAATTTCATTGTTCCTGAATCTTCCATGGAAAACATAGATGTTTGTTTAAGAAATGCAGCCTTAAAGGACACCTTTTTCCTCTCTCTCTTTTTTTTTTTTCCTGAATGAAAAGGAGTTGAAGCAAATCTAAGTGAAGTGAAGGAAAACACATGCATGTAATCCCTTACCTTTTAAAACCTATGATATATAGTTATGTGTTAAGTAAACAAACTCCTCAAATTTCTGTTAGTGACTGGTGTGACGACTTTTAGTGTGGACTTCCTCAGACTATTAGATGCAGGAATTCACCAAACCTCAACCAACACTTAGAAGAAAGCTGTCAGATTAAATATTCAGCGATAAAAGAAGAATATATTTACTTGTTTGATCTGCAGTGTTGCGTCTGATAGAACCTGATTTTTGATTGGTGAAACATTGGAACAGGCTTCAAAGGGAAGTGGTGGAGTCACCATCCCTGGAGGTGTTCAAAAAATATGTAGACATATTTTGTGTTTTAGTGGTCATGGTGGTATTGGGTTGACGTTGGGACTAGATCTTTTCCAACCTTCATGATTCTGTGATTCTGTGATCATTTCACTTTAATCTGTATGAATCAAAACCAAGATCACTGAAGTTGAGTGAGTGTTGGCAGCCTAAAACTGGGATAACTAGAATAAAAATAAAATGAAAAAATACAGTTATAAACTTTGAAAGGTAAAGACAAAAGCTTCATCTGATGTTAGTCATCATCATAGCTTTACAAAAACCTGTTCTTCCTCTTCATGTGTAATTCCTCTGTGATTCCCTAATAATTAGTTTTAAAATGCCGGCGTGTAAAGTCATGATGCTCAAGCAACACTCTGAAAACCAAATATATACTTTATTTCATTTTCAGAAAAACACATTCCCAGCTGTGCAGGAGGAAAGAGGATTTGCATAAATATATTAGAAATTTGATATTTATCTACCAGTAAAACCACTTTGTAGAAGCATGATCATCTCAGCTCTTTTTTCATATAAATTTCAGTATCGTACTGTGTTTGATGACATTTAATACCAGTTTCTTACAAAAATCTTGCTGATTAACTCTGAGTAACGTAACATCCCTTTATGTTCAAGGGAGAGGAATAAGCACTTCCGGAGAGTAATTCGTCTCAACCAGAAGTAGTCATCTTAACTCAGAGATATGAGTCGTGGCTTACAAGTGCTTGTTTCTCTTACCTGACTTTTAGGAAGCCTCAGATGACTAGCTCACATTTATGTGAATTTATGTGAAGTGAATTTTGCCCTTCAGATCCTCCTATCTCAACATTATCCTGCTCTAAATTCCAGATTTCCCTTTTCAAAAAAATGCTATTGGAATCAGAATCAGAATCAGAACCAGAACGAGAATCAGAATTATTTAGGTTGAAAAAGACCTTTAAGATCATTGAGTCCATCCATTAACCTAGTTATGTCAGGTCCACCACTAGACCATTTCACTGAGCACCACATCTACACAGTACCCTTTTCATCTGAGATGACTTGATTTCCTTGTTTATTATGACAAATGTGTAAAAGTAGATATCATAAATCATTATCAATTTAATGTCCTTTTGCAAACCAGGCACAACATGTTGCATAGAAAGGTTTTCAAATGACTTAATTGTATGATACTAGTTTTAAAGCTGTGATACCCTGTAGTGTTCTACTTCCAATTCTATTTCCGTCCACGGTAGTAAGCAGTATATTCAAAATTTAGAAATATTTCCCCCCAGTGATCAAGCATTGTCTGTGAAATATGGAGAACAATGTAAAATCAGAGAGTCGGTAAGCAGTTTCCCAGAGGAAAAAAAAAAAAAAGTTTGGTAAAGTTCTATTTATTACTAATTATTTCTTCTCCTGGCACCCTATAAAACAATCTACTCTTGTTGCTTCCAAAATGGCAAGATGACTGGTCCCATTGTCCCATAGTCATCATTATTAAAAGGATAACAAGACTGAAAAAACAGAATGGTTCTGGGAAAAAAAGTGGAAACACTGATTATAAATTGATAAAATAAGAAATGTGATATTCCTTCATGTGACTGATATTTATTAAGTCATATGACAGTCATTCAATATTAAAATATATCAAGGTATGCTTAAATGTTTTACATTCCATTTTCAACTTAGGAGTATATTAAATAGCAGATTTTAAGGCTAGAAATTTTAAAATAAACAGTAGTAAGTTTCACTGAAAAGTTCAAAAATAATTTCTGAACCATTGGTGATGATTTTCATTAAGTTATAAAAATCAGTGAAGCTCCAGAGAACTAGGAAAAGGATAATTTAATTCTAGCTTTTTATAAAAAACAAATACAAGACTTGGAGATCATAATGTCATATCAGCTGAACATGAATGCCATTGCTACGCCTGTTCTTGAATATATAAATAGGAAGATGGAGAGGGAAAAGAAAAAAAAAAAACCCAAGCATAGAAATGGCTGATTTAGAAAGCAAATTCTACATGGCAAAACAGTCAGTATCAGTATTATTAAGGAAAGATTAAAACTGAGTGATGATAATAAGTAAATTATAAAATAATTAGAAGTACAATTATCAGGTAAGACTAGCAAAAAGATAGATCACAATCATGAGTGAAATTAATTCCATCTGGCTCTGAGTCATGTTTTTCTAGAATCTTCATTGTATTAAATTTTCCAAGTAAATTAAATAATTTTTTACATTGGTTAAATCAAAAATGAGTTTCTTGTGTGTCCTCACAATTTCATTTTAGGCAAAAATGAGAACACGCCTTATATGTATGGATGTGAGAGAATTTGCTCTTTCTCTAATTGATGTTTTCAGAGCCTTTCAAAGCGCAAAAGTTCTTTTTAGTGAAATTGCAGTGACACTAATGCTTATAGCCCAAGTTAGCTATGATTACTGATTCCTATTAATATTTCAACTAAAACCATCATGCACCAGCTTCCTGGTGTCTGTGCTTCTCTCGGGTGGTGCGCTCATGCCTCCTATCCACTGCCCAGACAAGTCATCAGTCCTGGGCTCTTCACTGGAAGGAATATGATGCTGCTGATGGATGCTTCTTCTAGCATGGTCTTGGGCCCTCTCAAGGGTCATTTTGTGTGTTTCAATCCACTACTTGATATTGGGGTGCACTTTTACTTACCTTCTGGGTCCTTGGGCTTAGTTATGCCATGATTGTTTCATTTTTTTTTAAGTCCTTTGTGTCGTAGAATTATTCACTTTCACAAAGCTAAAAATACCAACCAAACAAGCAACAAACCAAACACAAATCACAACTAAAGAATAATTACAGTATAACTGAACCAAACTCAGAGTCACTGGGTACACAAGAAACTCCTGATGTCTCAGTGTTTGAATAATTTGTCATTGAACAAGGCACACCTAAGGCAATGATAAACTGTTTCTAATTCAAGTTTCTTTTTTTTTTTTTTCAAAGAGAGCTAAAATAAATTCAAGACCAAACAAGACCTGACAAAGTCTTGAGTCTGTTTTTAGTAGTTATGGTTATAAAGCCTGAGGTATATCACTAACACTTGATAATGCAAAGTTGGTTGGTTTACAGGTTTAATCTATTCTACATGTTTTCTTACTGGCTTCAGTGGTGAGTCTATGGTCTCTGAAATGGATTAATTTGAAATATGTGTTAATGAGAAACAGTTTTACTGAGTCTCAAATGTCTTCTGCTGGCACTTATCCTTTTGATCTCTCTCCCATATAACCTTCACAGGCAATGCCCTAATGAGTTCATTCCTTATAATTCATTTATATGTCTTGAAGACTTTATTCTTACAGCTCATTTTTCTGATATGATAAATGATTAGTGGGTTTAGCAGCATATCTGGCACTGTGTACTACTTTGTATTTAGGAGTAACTACACTGAATTTTCCACATACA